GCTTAATATACACCAGCTACTTGTTTACGCCATGTTGGATAGCTGCTCTCGTAAGTACACTAAGATGTAAGCTGTGGGCTCCTCCAGCTTGTTCCAAATTGTCCAAGCTTAAAGGAGACTAAGTTAGAACGATAAGGTGTCGTTTAGTTTTAAAACAATTCTTTTTGTATACATTGGATCTGGCATAACTTCATGACAGGGATATTGTTTAGGTTACTCTAAATGTTTACATTCTGAGCAGTCCACGTTTAATAAAAACGATGCATCAGCGATCTATCCTTCCGCAGTATTTGTTTTGAATCTTAGTTTGAGTTAAAAGAGAAGACAGCTATTTCTAATTCCTTTGTTTTCGACGGAAACTCGTCAACTTTTCTCCGTGAAGCAATGTGAGCACACAGGCTAAAGAGAAGAAAGATGGCAAGGAAAGCTGAACTATATTTTCATTCCACCTTACAGCTCGTTTAATTAAATGTTCTCGCTTGAAGCAAGACCTCTGAGCTAAAGTCTAAAATTATTCATGTCTACAAGCCTTGCGATATGGATTAATGTCGATGGCAAAATGCATATCCTAACGTTGAACTGGCTGCAGCCTGACAGCGGTGTCACGGGACACCTGCTTTCTGCAGAAAAAAAGTGAGCCTTGCTCGAGGCTTACATAAACGTTGAATGTACCTTAAAAACGTTGATTTAAGACTCGCCGCGTTCCATGCTTTTGTTGTGCGAAATTTTATCTGCTCAAGTAGGCTTTGTTTCAGTTATTGAAAGGCAAAAATTTAAGAAATGTTTCAAACCCTTTAGTTTTAATTCTACAATCTAACTAGTTCTCAGCGCGTTCCGGAGTTTCTCTGCCCGCGGTCACGATAACCCGGCGGCGATGTATGATGGAAAAGGTCAGCAATTAGGAACGATTGAATGGGTTATTTACCAGCTTAGGGTCAGTTCATATAGTGAAAAACTATATATGACCTAGCTAGGACTTGAAACAAGTATTCTATTTTCAGCATTTCGATATTAATTTCTATTTTTTGTGTGCAAGGTGTGACTAGCTGGTATCTTAGGAGTGATTCTGGTCACCACATCAAGTCCCTCCTCAACACTGGTAAGGCAGAAATGTAACGTTCTGGTAAAGGCAGTCATTGGTTCCTTGGCTCCTGTTTTGTTCTTGTTGTTGTTGTTCCTTTTCCAGTTTTCGGGGAGTGTAGCATTTTTATTTCTTTAAATGCTTATTGTATAATGTAACTAAGTAACTTGAAAACAGAAACCAAACAGAAACAGGGACATGTGCCGCGCGATACGGTTCATATTTTGTGGCCCTTTACAATAAAAAAAGCGAGTTTTGTATACAGTGTTCAACACCGTTATATATTGCAGGACCTATACAGTGAAACCTGTATTAAGCGGACCCCATATTAAGAGCACACCCTCTATTAAGTGGACACCAGCTCGGGTCCCTACATTTTCTTCCCACATTTATTGTAAAATAAACCTGCATTCAGCGGACATCTCTGTTAAGCGGACGCAGACACCAATATTAAGCCATTTTGCTGCACATAACCTGCAATAATCGGACACTTCAGGGGCTTTTTACTTCTAAAAGCTCAGCTCAGACTCCTTTAACATTGCTTATGCAGCGATGTTGTTTTAAGCTAAGTAGATTATTCCAGATTAATGCATTGACTGTCTGGACATTGTGCTATGAACAGTTTCTGATCTTGCACTGTGTTACACTGTGTTACCAAAGGGACAATAATTAACCATTATTGCTGAACGTGTTTAGAGCGGACACCCTGTATTAATATAAGCGGACACTAGTGAGGGTCCCAAAGGTGTCCGATTAATACACGTTTCACTTTATATCAAATCCCACCAGCAACCACCCACCCCATATAAAATGAACGGTCCTTATGTTGATCGTGTGAGAGTAAAC